TGTATGAAACGAATCTTGTGCTTGGAAAGCAATGTCTTAGGACATTCGGAAAAAAAAATACGATTTTCTTTTAAATCCGCGCCTTACTAATAATATATAAAGAATTTTCTATTATAAATCAATAAAAATGTAAATGTTTTTCAAAGTTTTTATTAAATGAGATCGTACCTACCTATGTCAATATTGAATATTTTGAATGTGCATTACTAAATAAATGCTCTATTGAAAGCGTTTATTTTTTTACATTCACCTAGGTATATTTCTCTGGAATTGGTTTTTTTTATTTTATGGAACTTTCATATTAACTTACATCTTTATTTAAAAAAAAATAATATCTGTTTGTATCAAAACTTAAGGCTCCCAAAAAATTCACATCAATAAAAACGATTCAAGATAATTCCGAACTTTGAGAGGAATACAATTATTGAGAATTCGTCTAGGTAAACAAAAAATATTTGCGCACCAATATTTGATGGTGGTTATTTTTGACATAGCTGGTACTTACCGAGAATTTGGAGATGGAAACGAGATAAATGAAAGTAAACATGTATTTGGGGTTCTTCTATAGGTTCTTTTGACGATGAAAAAATCTGCTTAAACTTTATTATAACGTTTTATTGTTCAGTGAGAGAATGTGACAGTCGTTTTTCTTGATATCTACTGTTTATTACGAGTATATTTGTAAAATTACCAACTACCTACAGTATATTTTATTATACGTAGCCACGTACCCACGTAGGTAGGAATTATTATTATTTATAATCCCTGACTGTCTTGCACAGTTGCACGTGTTATATGGGAAAATGAAAATATATTACTCTAATTCATCAGCATTTTTTATCATAGTATAAGGACGTAAGGTACGATCGAAATAACAATAACAAAATAAAAATAAAAAAAAACATTAGGAAACGCATTTGGGTTTTCTGACCACTCAGCTTATTTCTCACAACAAAAAACCCGCACGCGATAAAAACTAATTTATTCGGTCAAGATCGGTCCCGCGTTTATTTGTTCGGTAAATACATAACTTAGGTAGGTACTCTAAGCTCGAATGGTAGTTTACATTTCGTCACGTCGCGATGCATATTCGGCAAAATTAAAATATGCAAGTATTCCTCGTTGTGCAACTGTAATGGATGGCGTGTGTGCGTGCAGCGTGGAAGCAGTTAAATAACGTGTTACACGTCTGATTGCTATTGTTGTTCGGAAAATATTTCAAATACGAAAGACAAAAATGCAAGAATAGGTTTAAAAAAAAAATAAAAATAGGTTTATTAAATAACAATAAACCTGCAGAGTATCTAGTAATTAAATGGATTTACACCGTACGCAAAATATGAGTCTCACGGTTTTCCCCCCTCTTTTCTTGCTATGTTTATTGTACATTACGTTACGCGGTGGAATTGTAGTCGAATGAAAAATAGGTAGGACGTACTATTGTAGTATAATATATGTATACAGTGTCTTGTTTAATTATAAATTATAGTGATCCTACGAAAATGCAAGTGATATAATGAGTAAATTATATCACATCTATATACATTACGATTACACATTTACACCCACATAAATTATTTCAACTGTAGTAGGTACACACGTTATTATTATTATTATTATACGCAATGTACGTGTGAATGGTAAATATGTACCACGTAAAATGTGTAGGTATCATTATAAGTTCGTCAAACATGATAAATGTTATACACTGTGAGCCGACGAAATAACTTAAAATATTTATGTGTCTTCCTTACATTTTTATATAGATACGAAAAAATGTAAGCTCTAAAGTCATACACTTATCTACGGAGATAATAAAAATTTTAAAACTTTAAATTATAATAAAGTATTTCATGATTTTTTACTATGATGCCAAATATATTATTTTATGACATTAATCTTTTATTTAGATTCGCTAATGTTTTATTTATTCTGGACTCCTCTGGTGGATACTTTTATGATGATTTATTAACAAAATATTGTCGTTTGAAAATTTAATATTCTTCAACAATTATAATATAATAATGATATATTATATTAATGTCATTATAGGTGTCTAGAAATAAAGTTTATAAACCTCGAATCGGTAGGTTATACACATTAGAGAATATGCGGAATACATAAGTACCTAATAGCTATAATACTATATAGTGTTATAATACATACAAGTTTAAATAATTTATATTCAAGTATAAATTTATTTTTATTGAATAATGTCCAATTATATTTAAAAATATAAAATATATTGAATGTAGGTATATTTTTCTGATTATTCATTGTGTACCTACTATTAGTAACATCGTTATTCGTTAAGGTATACAAAGGTGTAATAGGAGCTAAGGTAAATTAATAAATAACCAAATAATATTAAGGAAACAATAATAAAGAAATGGTAAAAAAAACATGTTTATTAATATCAGTAAAAAAAATGACATAATAATGTAAGTGCAGATCATTATCATATGCATATTTACATAAATACTTATTTATTTCTCGACTTACAAATGTCGATAAATAGTGTTCGTGTGTACTGTCTTATATTGGTAAACTAAACACATATAATATATGTTTAAAATAAGCAAAATTGAAAAGTTATGTATAATACCTAGCTATAAATATATGTATAATATTATTGAAAATACATCATAGCCACACAGGTAAAATGGACTCATTTTGAACACATCACACGTGGGCTATTATATCACGTTTATCAAATTAAAAAAAATACTGTGAGAATGGAATGGGCTTTTAGGGTTTTTTTTTTCGGGACTAGCGGCATACAGAGGTCAAATCAAGTGCGTTTTTTTTATCGGCAAAACTGCGTTGGTAAAATTTACAATGATATCTCCCGAGAGAAATACCAAGCCAAAATGTAGATGTATATATTATGTATACATAATATGTAGTAATATAAACCTAGTAGCAATACAATTAAGTTGAAATGCTAATGAATGACCTCACGATTTAAAATGAGTGCCATCAATAACGGTGGTTATTCGTACTACAATGCTCATCCCAAACGCAAAAGAATAATCCTCGTCTTGGGAAAAAAAATAAACGAAGTATGTAATAAGTCTCCTTCTGATAATGATCCGTAATCACGTGCAAGGCTTTTTTATCATTCCTTTCTATGTTCGTTTCATTTTTGTACCGAAAACCGTCATCAAATAATCAAATAATAATCTTCTCGGGATGACTAAGTTTTTAGTTTTAGAGGTTTTTGTGGTAGTATATTACGAAATGGTTGATGTCATCAAATTAAATCAATTATTTTACCAAAACTCGGTGTTTCGCCATATTAAACAATAATATATTTAGTATTTTAAATATAGGTAAGCATAAAATATAATTTTTTTTTTATAAATATTTCATAATTTAATATAAAATGTTTAAAAGATAATAATTTATCACATAGTAGAAAATATTAATACAATTAAAATTAATAATAATTAGTTGATCTATAGGAAAATAATTATTTTATATTCAAAGAAAATTGTGTATTTCGAATACATTTTAAACTTCTTATTAAATATTTAAAAATAAGACTAATAATATAGAAGTGATTTATAGCCTAAAGGTATCACGAGTCTCTTAAATGAAAAAACTACCAGATTTTAAATTTCATCACTTGTTTTTAAATACTTTTCCATACACCAGACTTTTAGAAAAAAATAAAAATAAAACTGTATAGAAGGTAGTACATATAGACTTGTTTGCTAAGCTTTCGCATTTATCCTCCAGCCTTAATAAATATGAAAATGTTTCGTAACGAATGACAATGCTCTAACATCGATTCTATCGAATGGTATAATATAATAAAAAGTTTTATCAATAAATGAAATAAATGACAAAATGACAAAATATAAATTATTTTAAGTAGTTATGTATTAGTTACGTAGTAAATATCCAATAAAAAGTAAATTACTTTCAACTATATTATATACGGTTTGATTTTATTTGTATTAAAAAAAAAAAAAATACTTGTGACGCGAATTAAAACTTCTAAGTTCAAATTAAAAATATTTTTAAGCATAATTTAGTAACCAGAAAAAAACTGTTATTCCATTTAAAATATCTAAAAATATTACTATCATATAAATCAATATCAAACTATACTGCTAAAGTCTCTAATAGAATTAATATTATAACTTATAGGTAATACTATAATATTTTAATTTTGTCATTGAAAACGACAAGCTGAACACAATTAAGGATGTATACTTATACAATATTATTAAAAATACATGTTTGTTTAGGTATGTAGAATTTAAATTTTTAATAACTCATTAACAACTTGTATAGTTTTTTTAAATGGTAGATAAGTAAATAATATTATTTTGTACCTGATAAATGTGGTTTCAATTTTAATATTTGACTGGTTGGTTGATAAACAATAGTCGAGTTTAATTCGGCACAAGTTTTCCTGTGTAGGTGTACTAAAAAATTATTGTAAATAACTACACTTTCTTTGTTCGATGTGAAAAATATCAAATACTTTAGAAACTTTCATACGTACCTATCTATAATTAACGACGTAAAATCTCGTACGGTGGTGTTTATGGTAAATATTCATGAAATTATTATTCCTTGGGTATCTACAAACATCGGCTCCCACGGGCTCTTATCCCATTCTCTTTCCTCCAAATTCCAATTTGTTTTCTAACAATAATCTTGTTACCACTGTTACAATATTATAATGGGATATTATTGGTGTTAGTATGGTTTAAATATTTTTCATTAAAAAAAAGTATTGAACCACGTAATTTTTTAGGCTATTAATCTTTGAAAAACGAATTCTTTAAAAAAAAAAAACCAGGTGAAAGGAGTACAGATAATCCATCAAAATCGAATAAAAACGTCGGTTACTCGAGTTCCCACTCTACCCACTTGAAAATTCGATCTATATATTATTGGAAACTGTCTCTATATATTATACGCAATATGCATAAGGACCATTAATTCATACATATATGTATCCTTATATAGATCGATCTCTCACGATGACCCGTCATTGGGCGACGAGCTTGTTAATCATCGCACAGATATTCAACGCAGTAAGAGAAACCGAATGACACCACTTAAAATAATAATACCTAACATGATTACCATAATATAACGTAATTGTCTTGCAGGCATGGGGCGGGGAATACGATCGAGCTCTATTCGTCAAATCCGATGACATAAGAAAAGCAAGAGGTAAACAAAGTGGAAAGTGCAGGAAGCCTTCGGCGATCGCGGCGTACTGTTCATTATTAATATATTTTATTTCACTTGTTCACATTTCAGAGATACACACGAAAGTAGCCCAAATAGCTCCAAATTCTATGGACCAGACGGTGGACCATATACTCACGTGGTTACAAACAAGATATCAAAATCAACAGTCTCAGCGTTTGGGTAATATCATACAAGTTGTTGAATTACTATGTTAAAGAATGAAATGCACTGTTGCACTGTTGTCTTGGCATTAAATATATAAATAATGTGTGCAATTCAAATTAAATTATCCGTCTCTATTCTCCAACTCGGTTCTCCGAGTACTTTATAATAGTCTGAACGAATTTTAGATTGAAATTCTTAACTTCTTACGACTAAGCTGTCGTTCGAATTGCATTGTTATATATTGTAATTATACATTTGTGATTTTTACTTGGCTGAATTATTATATACGACACCCAATATTATAGTTAATATTATATGTTTTGTACTATACTAAACTATACCTACTAAGCGTAGTGTGATCGCGATAATGAATTGCGTTTTTTTAGCTCGCCAGGACAACAATGAACAGCGTCCCCGCCCGTTCGTAGCCTCTCCTGCTCAATCGGACTACCGAGGATATCTACCACCGCAACCACCACCACAACCGGAGTTCAACATACCGACGACCTCATCACAATATCAGCCCACCGGCACCCCATCACAATATCAGCCCACCGGCACCCCATCACAATATCAGCCCACCGGCAATCCATCACAATATCAGCCCACCGGCACCCCATCACAATATCAGCCCACCGGCAATCCATCACAATATCAGCCCACCGCCACCCCATCCGTAAGCATAAGCCCATATTATGGACAGACTTCCGAACCCGGTCAGACGGCACCACCTCCGTTACCGTCGGAGGATACTCCGCCACAGCCTTTGGCACCGATTGCGGGGCTCGAACCACTATCCTCGTCGTCACCAAACGTCTCACCACAGACACCGGGCTTCGTGGACGAGCCAACCAGTTTCCAGGTACCAAATCCATCTTTGCGACCAGAATTGAATAACCCAGAAACCCTTCAAATGAACACCAACGACATTGTACACCCCCCACACATACACGAGATGAACGTGCAATGTTCAAAAGATATGATGACCATTAACGTCGAGTTCAACAAACCGTACGATGGCGTCGTTTACTCAAAGGTTAGTTTGATAAATTGTTATTGTTCTATGTGAGTTCGTAAAAATCGCCAAAAACCCATTTAATCCCCATCAGAAAACTTAGGCTTCCCCAGGATTTACACATTTTTAGGTCATTAATCTGTTACTTTCACAATAAGTAAATATTATTATATTTTTTATCGTTTAGATATATTTCTTTAATTATAACATCTATACCTACTGACTTAAAAAAATTATTTAACAATTTGCAATGATATAATTGTTATCACCGGTGAGCCGGTAACGATGCACATAGGTACTTAATGTTTTATTATTTGTATATATATATATATAAATTATAAGCCATCCATAAAAAATCATCGAAACCCTCCACTGGCCACTGCGCTGGCATAATAATGATTATTATTTATATTATATTTGGCCCGGTACATATATTATAGCGTTCGGTGGGTCGACCGGCTCACTCGAATTCCCAGAAAATCCACCCACCCACCCACTCGAAATACCGAGCGCTTTAATATGTTATTATTCGATCTCATGCCGATAAACTCATAATTATTGTTGCACACAGGGGTTCTATAACACACCGGAGTGCAGATATGTGAACCCGAATTCCGGCCAGACAAAGTATTCGTTCAAAGTGATGTTGAACTCTTGCGGGACGCATTTCGTCGACGAATTCTCTTCGGGCAAACAGGCATACTTGGAAAACGTACTGGTCGTGCAAAACGAACCTGGGATACAAGAAGTAAGTTTCGGTCATCTCGCTGTTCGTAATACACTCATAATCATGACAATTCGTTTAGGTCTGGGACGTCATCCGTAGTGTCAGATGTCTGTGGGAAGGCAATTTGAATAAAGCTCTGTCTATTGCGTTGAACATCGGTATGCTGAACCAGGAAGTGGTGACGTTCAGTGGAGATACGGCGACTGCCCGACTTGATATCCAAGTAACGATCATCAAAATATTATTATTATTTTAATCGGATTTTTTGATAGCAAACATAATACCTGGGCAATGAAAGCTAAACAGTGTATTATGTTCCTCGAACGTAGGTAATATTCTTAAATAAATAATGTGCATTTCATTATATTATTACAAAAAGAGTAGGATGTTATTAATAGTAAACAATAGATCAATACCATGATAATAATAATATGTTTATAATAACTTTAAAAGTCTGTCGATTAATTTTCTTTTATTTAGTTATTTTTTTTTCAAATAAAATATAATTTATACAAGATAAATCGTTAATACAATTTAACACGTAATTAATTTTTGAGCAAAAATAATATTAACATATTAACAAACGGGGGGTTGACATATCCATAATTATACGTCAACCCACCGTTTGTATATTAATATTATATTAAATTTTAGTAATTAATTCAAACTTTATCATGGTAGCTTTTATTATTATTTTGAAAATCGCTTGTTTCGATCAAAAACTTAACTCCTACGCTTTTCCATAAACCCTAACGACAATCATTATTAATAATATATATTTATACAGCGCAAGAATTAATTATAAATAGTAATACCCATTTAAAAATGTATGTTCAATTTTCTTCGGGAAAGTGGTATAAAATGAAATTTATAATACATTTATAATACAGTTTCCCGATAGGTATCTATATTATGTATGATGTACCTGGAAACAAATTATAGGTCCCTGATCGTAAATAGTATTGTTAAAGAAAGTACCGTAGGTATAAAAAGTATTAAGAAAAAAAGTAGGTACCTACTTGAGAAAAACAAATTCAAAAAGAATGTGCTTGTACTTACAAAAATAAAAATAATTTGTATTTTTACTATAATACAATTATTAAATATTTTGTTAAAATTGTCGACAAATTATTATGTGTTATGCGTATTATAACACCTATAACTGTAATGGGAAAACTCGTTAAAAAAAATGTAAAAAATACCAAATCGTTTACAGAAAAATTTTGTGAACGTTTAGTTAGATGACAAATTACCTACATAACGTTTATTTTATTAAGCATGAGCTATAATGCGTAATATTATATTATATGCTATATTGCTATATACAACGATAGAAAACGGTATCTATCTATGAATTACTGTTACTATTCATTATGATTACCTGTTAAACTATTTTATTATTTCATTTATTGTTAATGTTTTGATTTAATCATACTATTAAGTAGATATAGTTGCAGTATTTTTGCTGAATGTTTTGTTGCTATTACTTTTTGTGCCAATACTTTTTTATGGTTTCTTTTTCCTACGATTCTAATATAATTATATGTGGCAAAATACTATTGTTTACCTTCAGTTGCTCTAATATATTTATTTTTTAAATATTTTTACTAACACCATTGAAACGCGCGTTCTTGCAGACCGGCAAAGGACCGTTCGCACCGATCGCTAACGGTTTAGTGAAAATCGGTGAGACCATGACGTTGGTCGTGACCGTGGACGGCGATCCAGGATTCAACATATTAGTGAGGGAATGCGTGGCCCGAGACAACAACCCCGAGTCGGGCAATCAACTGCAGCTGACCGACGCCCAAGGGTGCGTGTCGAAACCCAAGCTTTTCGGCAGCTTCCAAACGACGACGAACCCGGCTACTGGTTCGTTGATAGCCTACGCATACTTCCAAGTAAGTATATATTATATATATAATGGAACGCGTTAATTCTATCGTACAAGTCATTGAATATTGATGTAATGGTAATCACTCGACATCGTAAGGAGGGGAGGGAAGAGACGAATGCTAAAAAATAAGCATAAAAACTTTTAGACGTTATTGATATTTTCTGGAACATTAAAATCGGCGACTGAAGACTTTTATGAATAAAAAATGATAATTTAAAATAATTTTAATCGGTATAGTATTGCACTGCTATACTGATTATAACGATTATATTATACAGTGTGTAACTTATACATAAATAATAAATATTTTGAATTATCATATTATCCGTGAAAAACATTATTTTTCATATTTTTGAAATTCCATTTTCATGATCCGTAATCATTATTTAACCACTCATGCAACAACATAGCTATACCTAATACATACAAATATAAATAGGTAATTTTATATAGTTAACATTTTTTGTTTTAATTTTTCATTCCAAAAGTTAGTTTTTACCTTACAATAATTTATTTACAATAAATGTTTTTTCCTAGTTTCCCTTTTGTTTTCCATATCCTTCAGATCTTTGTATGAATTGACTCTTGTATCCTTTGTTAGTTGGCTAATGTAGGTACCTTGTTCTGGAACTTCCTCTTGATCGAGTTCTTTCTATAATTTCTTCGGTTATTAAACTTTTTTGTTTCGTACCATTTTGTCACCATGTATCAGCGTGTGCCTATATGGAAGATACATCTCCTTTTATTTAGAGTACCTATCTGTTAATGTTCGTTTTTGTTCAACTATATTATATTGTAAGATGTCTTCATATTTTGTTTTTCACTCAGTCCAACTTATCCTTTGTATCTTTCTTCAACACCAAATTTCTAGAGAATCATTTAACATATTCTTTTATTTTTATTTATTGTCCTTGCTCACATACATTATACATATTACATATTATAATATGTCTCACTCCATATATACGTTTTTATGAGCTTTTTTTTTTGGTATTTATGTTCTTATTTTTTACTATCAGTCATTTCTTCTTTTAAAAAAAAATATTTTTGAATCTTATTATATAATAGATACTAAGAGTATAAATACTCTGTGTTATATTTAAATTTTAAACCTACATATATTACATTTTGATTTAATACAATGCGAGAGGGTCAATATCAAAATATTCTTTAATTTGGGTCCCAACCTCTGCCACAACATTGACACCTATGATATGTATGTATTAATATCGATAACTTGTAAATATTATGTACTATAACTTTATAGGCTTTCAAATTTCCGGACGTCATGGACCTGTTGATCGAGTGCAACGTCGAACTGTGCAAAGCCAACTGTCAGCCGTGTTCAGAAACGAATCAAGTGCGTATAATAAATACAATAATATAATATGTAGTAAAAATTACAACAATGATAATTTCGATTAAGTCCAACGATAAAATAATATTATAATACCTACTTGTCGATTAGAGTTGAAATAGCGAAAGTAATCTGTCAAATAATTATAATAATACGAGTTACACATCTAGTTCAATGTTTTAGACGAGATTCGCTTTATAGACAGCTAGCTGCAGTGTGGGTAATCGACGTTTAAAAGGGCTTTTAAATATTATGTGATGACATTTTTAAGCGTCCGATATAACATAAATTGTGTTGTCTAATTCGGAATATTACATTATATGGTATTATTTATCACACAGCAATCGTCAGAAATGTCCGGAGAAAATAAATCCAAAGAAACCGTATAGAATCACCGGATAATCGCTCACCTGCCATACGCATATACATTATAATTATATATTATACTGTGTGGTGCGATATACAATTGCATAGTATTATAATGTACAAGTATTCTACCAGATCTTATAAGCTGTAATTTATATAATTATCATCCGTTAACAATTATTACCTATATAATATATAAATATACATTATACTTATATAGTATGGCGGTGCAGATGTCCACCGGACTTTTACCGGTTGTTTCGGCGATTCCTCGGAGGATTGAAAATTATTTAAACCGACCGCGCGTAAAAAGCGGAATGTATAATATTGATAGGCATCGTTATTATATACCTATATCCATTACATAATAGGTATTATAATAATCACCTAGAATCGAGAGATAATGCTGGTTTTGTATTGTTTTTTTTCACCAATTTCTCCGTTCTCCCGCGAAATAGGTATTTTTTTTCCATCTCTTACAGTCGGTTAAATAATTTTTCCTATTTATAAACAAAACTGCGCGGTTGCAGCGGTATAGGCCGCACGACCGCGGCTAGCTGGCGGGGCTTTCACTCGTGGATGTCACAGGTCACGATCACGCGCATATAGTAATAATAATAATAATAATTGTTCCGCAGAAAATCGATCCCGGTCGTAAAAGACGAGACGTGCACAATATTGCGACGAACAATACGATCAATACGTCCGGCGACAGTGCGGATTCTATGATGTTGGTCGGTCGCGTACACGTTTACTCGCCCGACGACCTGCTGGCCGACAATTTCAATCAGTCCGCCACCGACGTGCTGGATCCGCTACAGGCGTTCACGACGGGTAATGATAAAAAACGACGACGACAATAGTAATAATAAATTAATATCGACAAAACGTAATACGCGACAGCGATATTATAATCGTATACCGTCGTCATTGATTATAAATATCCACTTTATAATAATCAATGGTACATTATAATAATATTATTATTCTGTCGTTAAAACTCTGGGTCGTCGTTCTACAACGAAATCAGTTTTTTTCCGTAGCATTTATCATAATATTATGTGTACATAAATTATAGACGAACATAATATTGTGTGAGCATTCAGATAAAAATGGTCGACGACTATTCCGAGATGCAACGAAATAAAACCATTCTGGTATTATTTTAATCAATTCAACTTCGAGTTAGTATTATGACAATGCGTTCAGCATTTTATATTGTTTGGTACATCATAGCAGCGTAAACGTCTTTTCAGTTTTTGACGACGTCAATTGTCAGTTAAAGTTAAGAAAAATATGAATTAATTTTCGTACAATATGACATTAAAAAGGTACCTATGTACATTTTAAAGATTTTAATAATGTGTACCTATTTAATATTATCATATAACATATTGTATAAGCAGCTCCTAAGACTTGCATATACAATTAATAAATGTAATATCAAGCACTTTTAAAATCTGTAAAATAAACTATATTTACGCCCAAACATATAATGATGTAAACGTATCTAATAACTATACGGTAGTTGATAAAATCATTGAGCAAATAAATAATTAAACTTTAGCAGTTTAGCATCGTCGTTCAGCACTTTCAAGGGGGGATAATGTTTGTTACTACTGTAAGGAAGTGTTAAACTGTGTTCAAAGTTGAAAGTGGTATTTATAATTTATAAGTAACATATATCGCATTGTGTTATTAACTAGATACTCACCACCAACGCAATCATTAATTGAAAAGATTTAGACAATTTCTACTGATCGTTCGAAAACTTATATAAAGCAATATGACGATGGTTAAGATGTGAAACTGCATTCACAAAATATACATAAGTCCATTTTTAAGAATAATATATTATTTATGATTATCCTATTCATAAAAATGTATTTATTAGGTACCTACTGACGACTAATTAATAACCATCGAAATTGTTCATTATCAAGTATAGGTGTATAGAGTTCTATACCTTTAAAGTCAACAATATTAACTTTCACTTAAAAACATAATTAAAACACAAAATAATATATTACGCGAATCTGTAAAGAAGATAACAACTTATATTATAGTGAATTTTTATTTATGACTTAATATAGGAAGCGTGCAATTCGTTTTTTTTTTAACTCGCATCAAAATTAATATTATCATTAAAATAAATGAATTATGTATATTTTTAATTTTGATGCGTGAGTAATGAGTATAGTACAATATACATAATAATATGTACGATGTACCTATAGGTACATTCTATAAGGGTTATGCCATTTAGTATAATTAAAATTATAATATTATATATTATAGATACACTCATAACTCGTATATGATAGTTGATGATAACATAAGAAAGTTACTTTTTTATTTTCTACTGAAGCATTACATCTTATTTTAAATATATTTTCAACTCTATGTGAAATACCCACCATAAATTCTTGACGTTACAAACATTTTTTTTTGCTTTTCAATATTCACTTTGCCGTTTAATATAGGTTTTGGATAATCACGAAATCTGGAAATCATAATATAATGTTATTCAGAATTCTAACAATTTAACTACACCCAAGGCTGCTACAACATGAAGTTTTTTTTTCGACTATAATATTAATAATAGCAATACTTTGTACCATAGTAGGTATGTTAATAATTTTAATTTTCCATACAGTTTAAGTATGTCGTTACTCGTTAGTTTTTATCTCGTTGTATTATAATATAATATTTTAGTACCTATAGTTTCATATTACACTACCTATAGGCAGTGTTGTAAAAAATACTTTTTAAAAGTATTTGAGTAATTACTCAAATACTCTTAAAATAAAGTATTTAAAATACCACCCAAATAATATAAATAGTAAAGTATTTGAGTAATACTCAAATACTTTTCAGAAGTATTTAAAATAATCTTCAAATACAAAAAAAAATTCTTTTTACTTTTTAGTTCTGAAATAATTTGTTATAATCAAAAATGTGTTTATTGCATTTTAAAAACATGATTCGTTCAATAATCAAAATTCTGATTATTCATGTTAGTTGTACTACACCAATGAACTTTTCTCAACAGAGTTATTATATTAATTTAAAGCTATATTATGTATTTGGATATCTCATACCGTCATCGATAAACAATAATGATAATAATTGATAAAACTTTTCTTGATAAATAGGTAGCCACTAGCCAGTAGGTACTAATAATTATTAACATTATTTTCGTATAGTTAAATAATTATAAACTAAATAAACTATAAAATATAATAGCCGTTAAGTAGAAGCTTTTTACATATCATATATTTTGTTAACTTTAGCTAATAGTGATACCGACTACAGATGTATCTTTTCGATCATCGTTGACAATAAGCTGCCTCCTAGAGAATAAAAAAATTAAATAAAAGTATTCAATAAAATAGTATTAAATAGTAAAAAAAAGTATTTAAAATACCATTCAAATACTTCAAAATAAAAAGTATTTAAAAAAGTATTCAATACCGAAAAAAGTATTTGAATACTTTTACTCAATTACTTTTACTCAAATACTATACAACACTGCCTATAGGTAGCAATTAAACATGACAATATAACTTATAAATACGCACACAACTGTTCGTCGTAAAATACGACTAATATTATGACGTTTATAATATTTTTGTACAAAATAAATTCATTGTGAATTTTCATCTGTTCACAGGCGACCGAACTTTGTGCATCTCATCAAAAAAGTTTTATATGACCTATTCGTTTATGGTCGCAGTGACATTAATATCGAGTGCAATGAGCATGGTCCTGTGGATTCGATTACAACGCAAGATCTATAAAGATTAAATAGTCACTAAATATAGAGAATGTGTTTTAAATGATTTGTTTTCGAGATTGAATTTTATAATTTTTGTTTCAATTTGTTACTTGAAAAATAAGCGTGATAGCCTGGACAGAAAACACTATTCAATTGCTTTATATTAGTGATGATCGATCGTTTAAAATGGTTATTATAAACGCATATCATGTTATTTTTTATAAGCGTATAATGTTTTTATATATATTATATTATAAGGAATATTTACTATTTTTTTTATTATTTTTTTACATTTCCAACAATAAATATGATTTTAGAACTTTTATGTATTTGTAAATTATATTACACTATAATTTTATCTAAGCTATGTATTTAGCACTTAATTTCTAATTTTTAACTATAGTATAAACTATAATATAGATATTATGAATTGTACAAAGAATTTTTGTATGTGTAATGTGTATGTATTTTATAAGCCAAATAAACTCACATTTATAATAATGAAATTGTTATATAATCTAATTTTACCTATTCCGTTTTATTAAATTGTTTTTATTAACCGTTTGAAGCACAATAATATTTGTGTATGATGAAATATGGTTTGTGCAGTAAAACGGAACAGTTGCTTTAAATAAGTACTCATTACAGTGTTACAATTATTTAAAAACAATGGTGCATCTAAATTGAATTCTTCAAACGTAACACGTCGTGAAAATATCCATGTATATATACAACACACAGAGAAGTCGTGCTAAGAGGGGTTGTCCAAAGTGCCGAAGGCCCCAAATTACAAAATCGATTTATATTTTTATTATTAGTTTGTTTAAAAAAACACATTTTATATATTTTATTTCTTTGACATTTCATGACAAAAGAGCTGAATAAAATTTCCAATGTCACACTTTTAAGAAACGGTATGTTTAACCCGTTGGTCTCACGGCATTCAGAATGCAAATCAATTAAGATTGGATGTTTTGGAGTTCTTGAAGTTTTTGAGTTTTATCTACTAACTTCAATCAAAGGAATGCTATTAAACACGTAGCGAAATCAATTACCAATTACCAATCCATTTTAATTTGAAATTTGTCGTTGTCTTTGTCTTTATTTCAATTGTTTGGACTCCCATCTTAAAAATATTCTTCAATACTTCAAAGAATCTTCAACCAATTAATTTTGGTTTGATATGTGTCGTACTCTCGTACCCTATATGTCATAAATATATTATATTAAAAATCAACAAAACAAATTTGAAATATTTCAAAATGAAGTTTAAGTTATAATAAATGGTTCAAATACCTACATTTTCTTCAGAAGAAACTAGAATTAAACGTAGAAATATTTTTTATAATGAAAAACTTGTTGCAATTATATTTTTCATAAGATTATATAACATTAAAAACGTAACACTTAATCTTATAATGGGTGCGTTAATTGGAAATAATTGCTCAACTGATTATAATAAAAGTGGCATATTTCCATATTTATTTATTTATTAAAATATAATACGGGACTAGCCAAATTTAAATGCACATTCACAAAAAAATACAGAAAAAAAAATTAGAATTAATAGAGCTTGATACAGTGTTGTAGGTAGACATCTATATTATATAATTTACTTATTTTAATAACAAAAAGATAACATGACGAAAATACAGTTTAAAATAAAAAAAGATGGTTCTTCATTGGCCAATTTCAACATTTGTGAGATAAGACGATTCCGCATATAGTTGGAGGGATATACTGTCAGGGCCGTCCCTAGGGCATGGCGAGTGGGGCCCTCGCCCCGGGCTCCGCGCCTTCCCCACAGTTGGACAGGCCCCGCTTTTATAGATACAATAAAAAAGTCAAGTAAATTAACAAAAAAAAATGTATCGTTTATATATTTTTATACATTCAATTGTTGTAATTATTATTACCTAAACCTACTTATAATAATTGACGTAAAATTAATGTATCGCATTTTAAACGAGTTAATATGATAAAAATTAAATTTTCAAAGTTGAAAATTATAAAAATAACTATCTTCGAAGCCCACTGTCCGAAAACAAGGCACCAACTTAACTATAATATCTATAAAAAAAAAAAATGCTGACTAACTAAAATGTATATTTATATTTAAATTTGTATTGACATATTTGATAATTTAAGACGTAGGAAGGTTAAAAAATATATTAATTTTACAATGATTTGTGTTTTTTTTCTGTTTTGTAAGCCACATTTTGGGTAGTAAATGTGCTCCGCTTTTCGAGATCAGCGTATTTACTGATAGAAAAGTGAGACTATTTGGTATTTTTGAGAATTTAAAATTCAAAATTTCAAGTACTTTTACTTTTAAAAACAAAAAAATAGGTAACTTCTATACAAAACCAATTTTTGAAAAAGATTTTATTTTTTTGGTGTAACTCAAAAATTAATGACTGTAGAACCTTGAAATTCTCAACAAATATTTATATTAGTATTTTCCATGTATACTGGCCCTGTATACTTTGCGGGAGTTAAAAACAGGAACATGAAAATTGACAGTCTGTAGTAAGTCAGGAATACCCAAGGGTCAGGCATCCACTAATTAGTTTACGCAGGAAAATCAAATGTGCTTGATCCCTCCTATCTGCTAGCGTAGTAAGCACCTGTGAATCGTCACGAGGCGGACAATCAATTTGGAGGACATAAGTAACATATTTTAAAAATTTCCACTGTTTTGTACTGGTCATCAATTGTACTAGAACTCTATACTACCGTGCCAACCGTATTCCAAGTGGGGATGCACAAAGGAGCAGTAAAGAGTCTAAAGTGAGTTAAAAAGTTTGAAGTCAAATGAAGTTTATTTCCATATTATATATTATATACAGAATACAGATTTATGTTATCAATTTGGAGTTTTTCTGACATTAAAAATCAATTGACCTGCATAACAAGCATTAAAGGTTCAAGCAATCAGGCTACTGAATATTTATAGATAAGTAGATATTTACAATTTGGAAAAATTATTTGGTGAAGAAATCATTCAATATAGAAAATATTTTTCTGACAAAACATAAAATATAAAAATAACTTAATAATGTTTCCTTCAAACACAACATTCCCTAATGTCAAAATTGCATTAAAACTATTAATTTGAATGTCATAATATTCTAATACAAGCGGAAAAATATAATACAAATATATAATATGTTCCTATATATTTTTGACATAACATAAGTCTTTTTTTTTACATATTACTGATTACTCATTAGGTATAACAAATTTTTTTTATTTTAATAATTGTGTTGTTTATTCAAAAGTTATTACATTTAAAATATAAACATGTTAAAAAATATATAAACCCATTTACTATAGGTACTGTTAGAAAAATATGTTATTTTATTAAATTTAAATAATATTCATATTCTTTAATGAAAATATAGAATTTTCACACGAATAATGAAGTATTCACGAGCATATTATTATAGGTAGTTATCGGTTTTGGTAGAGGTTTAAATGTATATTAAATCTTAGCCTGCTTAGATAATATATCAAATATCATGTTGGGTACTATAAGTATGATGGCCCAGGGCAGTAGGGCACCAATGATAGTAAGCAGAGCACACGACTATATTGTATCTATAAACATATATGTATACAGATTCAAGTTCAACTAAAATATACATATGAAAATATCATACTTAGGTACTAGTTACTACTATAAAATTTAATTTCCAAAATTCAAAACGATTTAACACGTACAATATGCGTTTTAATATAAAATAGGTATTCGACGCTGCAATAGTGCAAACAATCTATCAAAATGGACGGTATTGCTTCGACGTCGCGCCTTTAATTCGAAATATTAATTTCATAAAGGTGCTGCAACATCGGTCAACGACTCAAGAGGAAGTTTTTAATATCGAGACTGTGGGATAACCGAAAATTTTTATTATTTTCGAATTTAACACTTTCAATCACTCAAGATTTACAAACATTATGTCTCGTCACGATGGACATAACGCAACGTATAGGTATTATTAATATGGGAATAATAATTACCCATGGAAAATATAAAAATATGCTACACGTGCAACGTGATAATCAACAGACGCGAAACTTAACTATCACATAATATAGGTACCTTCACTCGGTTTATTTTACTAAGCTATTAAAGCATAATCTTTTATGATGGTTAATTTTTAATTATTATTACGCCCAAACAGACAATATTCACACCGATCGGCGATCACATAAAACGTCTATACGAAAAAAGCATCTTCTAAGAATATGGTCTACGTAGATACTATTTATACTTAAATTATCCTTGTGTTCTAGATAATACTCTACTTAGATCTCTGCGTAGCGGTAGTATAATTTATAATATTAGGTTACATTTTTTTATTAATAAATCCGAAGTCTTTATTATAAAACGTTTTCAGGGATGTTATTATTTCTCCTTTTGCTTACGAATCTACTCCTTACAAACTTTAATAAAGTTCAACATACCATGAAAAACCTAAGTTTACCAAACATTTTAAAATATTTAAATTTTTCATTCATAGTAATTTATTCTATACAAAATATTTTGATTGTTGTTTGTCTTTCTTCATAACCAAAGCAAAATTAATTAACAAAATACATTTAAAAAAATTATATTAATACATAAACCAGAGTTCATAATATAACAAAGTATAATATGAATTTACTTTTAATAAACAAATAACCAACATTTTAAATTGTATTTTTAACCGTATATAAACATTATTTCGACATCGGAGTAGATATCTTTTCTTATTTCACTATATGATTCGAATCTTAGATATTTTAAAAGTTTTTGTGTAATGTCTTGGATATCTTATAAATAAAAATATATGTTCCCTTCCTGTATTGCGATTGCGGGGGTGGCTAACACTCCTTTGGCACCCCAAAATTACTCACCTGTAAACCGTATAAATGTCCAATTGGTTAACTTATACATTATTGTATTTACGATTCCTCTTCGAAAATACATAAATGTCTTTTTTTAATCTTAAAAAATTTATTCGAAAAAGTAAACACGGTCATG